GTGTGTGTGTGTGTGTGTGTGTGTGTGTGTGTGTGTGTGTGTGTGTGTGTTTCTGCAGACAATTTTTATCATTTGCATGGCTCTTAGTTCTTGAGCATTGCTTCATTGGTTCATTTCGTTGCTTTTCTCACACTAAGACTGAGGTTCTTACTATCCCCAGTGTCCTTAGAACCCAGCAGACCCTGACTTCTAAACCCACACACAACCTTCAGTGCAGCTAGTGCTCCTTTCTGTCCCCAGGGCAGACACACTTGGGCTTTTCTCTAGACTCCACAGCAGGCATTTCATGGGAGATGAGCTTCTGACTCCTTCCTGAACCAGGGCTCAACCTGTTAGCCCAGACTGCCCTGGGCTTGGAGCATCTGCACTTGGATCTTCGTTGGGAGCACTGAAGGTTGGCACCATCCTATCGGTGTGCCCTGCCTCTGTCTTGGCTGTTGGTCCCACTGCAGGTGAGTGGCCCTGCATGTCAGACACTCCTCCTTGGGCCCCAATTCTTAGTGAAGAACTATGACAAGACACAGCTTGCTTTCCTTTCTGCTTGTCAGAGATACAGATGGTTAGGGAATCCAGAGGAGAGGATGATATAAGATCAGTACAATTTTATTGAGTAGAATTTTATTGCATGCATTCATGCCTCAGTTGGGAGTCTATTGCATTGTTAAGTTCCTTGAGTTGTTCTAATGGCCTCAGAAGAAGATAGCATTGTCTCCCTCCCCTTTTGGAGATGGGGCTTCACTCTATACCTCAGGCTAGCTCAGGAGCCACTATGTAAGTAGCCCAGGATGATTGCCATTTAAGCTTGTGACAATTTTCCTGCCAGAATCCTGAGTGCTGAAATTATTGTCCAAAATCACCATGCCTGTCAATGTTATTCCTCATTGACCTGAAGGGACCATTGTTCCAAGGCCCTGGGCAGGAGGAATTGTAGGGCTTTTCCTTCTGCCAGGGACAGGAAATAAAGGAAATTCAGAGCTCTGCAAACAATAGGGAAGTAGGGGTGATGATGGGAAGAGGCCCGGGCTGAAGTTCTAACACCCCCCCCCAAAGGCTTGGCTAGCCCTGTGGCCATCAGTTGAGCCGGCATGCTGGCAATCAGATATACAGCACCTGTTTTGTTTTTTTTTGGGGGGGGGTGGTTCCTGTCTCATGGCTCAGACAGCCTGGTAGCCACCTCCCCTGCTTGCCAGTACAAGTGGACAGACAGAAATGCCATCCAACCATGTTCTTGATGCCCTGGGCCCACCAGTTGACCAATCAACACAGGGCAAGCCCTCCAAGCCTGGAGGCACACCAATCGTGAGCCTGTGTGTACCCCTAGACACTCCCCTTACACTGCCCTATAAGATCTTTTGGGAGCCCCTAGGAGCCATCTTTTGGGAGCCATCCACCATGACGGGTGGGTGAAAGACCCGAGATAATATGGGGTTAGCTTGTTAAATTACAATAAAGCCTCGTGCAGTTTGCAGTAAGCTCTCGAATCTGCCTGGTGATTGGGGTGACCTAGAACGTGGCCTGGGACCCCGGATATTTGAGTTTTCGGGGGTCTAACACAAACGTCTACCTTTCATTAAAGCCTCTTGCTGTTTGCATCAAGTTTCTGCCTCCTCTCTGGTGGTTGGGGTGGCCACAGTCCTGGGAAAAGATTCTGGAGGCCTGAGCTTCTCGGGGTCTTACACCACCACCTTGGAACTTTCAAGTCCTTCATGATGGAACCAATTTTTGCAATTCCTCCAGGGATGAAATACCAGTTTGGATCCACTGTTTCCCTTGGCAGAAGCAACTCTGAAAACTGTATTTGCCTTTCCAACCTTAATAGCTGTTAGCAACCAGGCACACCTTGGCCCTGCCCTTTGGGGACCTGACAGAGTGTGTCACCCCTGCACACTTGCCAGGCCATACCCTGACTCTGTACACAGGCACAAAAGGTCCCTTTAAGACATGTGCTCCTCCCATTCCCTCTCTCGGAATAGGTGGGCCAGTATTGCCCCCCTCTCATTTTCTCCCTTTCTTCTTTCTCTTTCTTTTCTCTCCCTTCCCTTCCCCCAATAAAACTTCCCAGGTAATCTCTGTCTGCATTTCATGTTTGTCCCTTGCCTGCTGTGGTTTGGACTTACCTGCTGAGATCCATGTCTGCCATATTATAACAATAACTCTTACTTGACAGGTCAGGGGCCCAATGCGATAATTCTGCCAATTTCCGTGTGTCTGTCTGTCTGTCTGTCTGTCTGTCTGTCTGTCTGTCTGTCTGTCTATCTGTCTGTCTCTGTGTATATGCTACTGTGCAAGCATGGAGGGCTGAGGATAGTTCCATGAACCCATTTGTCCTTCTACCGTGGATACCAAGAACTGAGCCTAGGTCCTCGGGCTTGGCTCAGGGATTTTTACTCTGAGCCATCTTGCTAACTCTTAATGTTTTTTTTGCTGAATGGTGTTACATCCATTGCAAATTTTCTCAAATTTGTCTGTTTGACAATATAGGTGTGTAAAATAATGAAGGATGTAATAATGAAAACAGTAGTATTTCAATGCGAAATAACAGTGATTGTGAGGTAACATAGGTAGTGAACAAATTCACCAGGGTCAGAGAAAAGCAGGCACAGGACCAGTAGGGATGGCTCAGCAGACAAGGCACTGATATCATGATTTTGATGTCCTGGCCTCATATGTTGGAGAGAGTCAGCTCCTCTGAGCTGTCCTCTGATCACTCCATGTGCACTGTGGTGTGTACAGGAATGCACATGCATGTACCCCCACACACACACTCATTATCCTGGTGTTGAGGAATGTACACTGAGAGGCATGGTTGAACACATATACATAAATGTATTTTTAATGTAATTTTAAAATAAGACAAACAAATGGAGGAAGCAGTGTTATTACATAAGCTGTAGTACACCCATAGTGAGTTCCGAAAGTAGCTAAAAGCTACTGTCTGGTGGAGAGGGTATGTATTGGATTATGGTCTCTTTATTTCCAAGCACAGCCGGGTGAAACACAGGCCAGAGCTAGGTTAAGAACCCAGCCAGCGTGGCCAGAACAAAGAGAGAGCCCCGTCCCCACGTGCAGTCCCTTAAGAAGCCCCCTTTACGTCATCCCGGCTTTCCTTCACCCCGCCCTTATGGGCGAGTCCCCAGGTCCACCTGGTACCTGCCCCAGGACCATTGGGCGGGGCTAGGGTGACTCCCTACAATTCCCCTTTTAGTCTAAGAGAGGATTAAAACTTAATAGTGTAAAATATCCAAAACTAACAATCATAAGGGTGGAATACAAGAATATACAATAATCTGCTATGATACATCCTATGTCTATTCTAGCTAAGTCTTAAAGTCATGTGAAAAAAGTGTCTAACTTGAACACCTTCTTCCAATCCCAACTCTAAACAATAAGAAGGTTATTCTTAACTAGGCTTACACTACCCTAATACACAATAATGGGGAACGGGGGCGTAGCATCTTCTAGGTTACTTCCTGCTGAAACGGGACGAAGATGGTCATGTGGGGGCCCTGTGGAAAAAAATGTCAGTATAGTGAAAGTCTCTAATGAGGTATGTCTAGTCCATGTTATATGATTTGTTTGATTGAAGATCTACGTTGAAATCCTCAACTTGATTGAAGTCGTTACTCGAGGTTCTGGTTGGAGTGTCAGTCGAAACGGAGTGAGTTGAATCCAGTGTAGTCGGGAAGGTGTAGTCTAATTCCTTTTCCGGAGCATGCAGGGATTGCTGTCAGTCTGGGTCTTGATGGCTGTATGGGACTCAAACATAAGTGTCATCAGAGAAATGTTCACTTGTTTATGTATGTGTACCGGGAAAGGTACCTTGACGAACCTTGACTAACAACGATTATGAGAGGGTGTAAAAGGAAAGCCAAGA